AACCAGACATGCTTCTATATGTGTTGAGATGTATTTACATGATAATAATAATAGAAGTATTATAAATGAGAAGATAAATGTATTCTAATACTTGATACTCTATATAAAATATTACACTAAATAAGGATAATGTTGCTTAAACAGAGTTGGTATTGGATGATGATTATAAGCATTGTAGGCTTGCCTAGTGATAAAATAAGACTTAAAAGAGATGATTAGTTCAATTAAGTTTGGATATTGGGTAGCATATTATTAAGGGTACGTGTGTGATTAAAATAGAGAGTAGAAACTCTGTTCGAGGATATTGATGATCGATGAAGTATGTCCTACGTACAAAAGTACTTTCTATGTACCAAGTCTTTTTCAAAGCTCCGTATCTCAGGTTCTGCTTGTGTCGGGGTATTATTATGTTCTAGGTTATGGGTCCTAGTCATACCAGGGTACTATAATGTGCTAGGAGTACAATCATTTACGGGTCCTTTTTGACACTATTATGTGTCGGAGTACGGGAGCGTATGGGAGTACTTTATTAGTATTCCCCTATACTTTTTCTTTTGATGAGCTTTGTTTGTCCTCTTTTCCTTTCACGAAGTAATTGAGTAAATTTCATAGTCTACCTAATAGAGTTTGTCAGTAATAGACCACTACTAGGTATGTATTATGTTATATTGCCAGATAAGATGATTTTGGGGGTAAAATACCTCACGGTGTCAGACACCACTGCTAGGCATAGTTATCTAGATAACCACCCCTGACTTAATTGTCTAGTTTTTTTTTACGAATCGAGGTTCGTGGTGAAACTTATTACATTCCCATCATTTGATGTATTTATTGATCCTTGTTTGTTGTTAGGGAATTTCCGAAGCAGCTTCCTCAGTTCGTTGTTCATATTAATCCTTTAGGCTAGATCATGTAAGATCGTTGTATATGATCAGTAAGTGGGAATCGACGGGATGGGATAAATTGTTTTAGAGATATGATATATCAGTGTTAATGATAATAGTTGGTTTGTAGGTTTGATATATATATATATATATATATATATATATATATATATATATATATATATATATATATATATTATTATTATTATTATCGCATTATAGGATTGAAATCCATATGTACACACTAGGTTTTCCAACTTGCCCCACTCGGTTTATTATCCCCACTCGGTTTATTGTATCACATGTGGCTATATAAAAGATACATTCTGCTGAGAGATTCAATGAATTAGGCCACTAATTTAATTACTATAAGGCTTGTAATAATTTGTTATGCTTATCTTTATGTATTGACGATAACATCTCAATGTTTTAATATAAATAAAATATATTTCTTCGGATAATATCATTATCATGTTTTCTTGGAGCAAATTCCACAATATTATTCTTCAAAAATGATACTTTGATTTTTAAATAAGCATAAAAAATCGGTCTTTTCTAGTCATTAAATTGGGGATGTCACAGATAAGTTGTTGGAAATACTATAATAGATGGAGGACAATGTACTTTGGGTTCATGACGCGTTGGAAAAGAGACACGCGGCCTGTTTAAGAAGTATGTTACTATTTTAAAATGGTTGATGAGGGTTGCGACATGAGTTTTGAGATAGTCTGTGACTCGTCAATGAGAACATGCAACACATCAGAGCATGACACATCTAGAACACGCGGTAAACGAAGGTGACGCATGGAAAGACCTCGAGAACACATCGGGCTGTGACGCGTCAAAGGATGGGTCGCGACACATTTTGCTAAATCCAGCCACTCTAAATATAATTTAAAGTCTCTTTCGGGGGTTTTCTATGAAACTGGAACAGAGCGTACATAAAGGGTTTATAGTTGGACAAGAGAATTATCGACGCTGGCATATGAGGGTACAATTACCGAATAAACTAAGGTATCATCTTATCGCATTATTACGTAATTATGTTTGTGTAGCGTAATTACGAAAGGTTTGTTAAATTTCAAAAGAGATGTTAGTGTTGAGAGAGAGAGAGAGAGAGAGAGAGAGAGAGAGAGAGAGAGAGAGAGAGAGAGAGAGAGAGAGAGAGAGAGAGAGAGAGAGAGAGAGAGAGCGCACTTGCCATGCGCTTCCATGTCATCACCATATCCTTGGGGTAACATGTTTACAATTCATTTCGTTCGAAGTCCTATTATTTTTTAAGAACTCCAAATACAAACAACCTTGGCGGGTAGTGAGTATACCCAACAATCTAATTAGATACAGCATGTCTACAATTCATTCGGTTCAAATCCCATTACTTAATACTACATTCATCTTTCTCATTTTTTGGTAGGGATATTTGATTAATTTCTTCCCCACCTTGAATGCAATCCTCTAATGTATGGTCAATTGTTCTGTTCACCATCGTCATAAATAAAGCCGGACCTACACCAAAGTCAATATATGTACTTGGAAAAAAAAATTAAACAAAAAAAAATAGATAACTTATTATTATAGTACCGTTTCCTAAATAAATGTGTTATCACAATGAATACCCTAATAAAAAATGTTAAATCCGCTAAAGTGCCAATCAAGAACTTTATAAAATTAAGTTTCTTTTTTGCAATGAAACATTAAATTTTGGAATTAAAAACTTATTCTAGAAAACACGAGCCAATGGGACCTCAAGAAAACATAATTCAGCCCTACAACTGAAGCAGTTGATTAAAAATGCATGTGACCAACAAGACATCATCAGCATGGGAGTGGGAATGATGTATAATGAAGGATGGCGTAGGATAAGATTGTGAAAGTACAATGGTACCAATTCTCTCCTAAAACAAGGCCGGTTTCCTTTTTCTTTTATTTTAAATTATAAGAAGGAGTTGTTCAAAACATAATATCAATGACTTGTAACAACACCCACGAGTTCCTCACTACAGCATAAACGGATGGAATGCTATGCAAAACAATCATAATCATAAAAAGGGTCACATGATGTCCATGAAATTACCATGTGGAACGAAAATGAAAACAAATTGAAAGCGTCAAAAGTTACTCTAAGGCGTTTATTTTCAAATGTTACACTGAGAGTGTTTGGTTCACACGATAGTGGGGCAACAATACATTTGAAATGTAATATTACTCTAAGGCGTTTATTTTCAAAGGATTTTCAGTCTTTTTTTTTTTATATCTATAGAAGAAGATGTGTGGCGCAAAAGCTTTTCTCAAATAATCTTTTGTAGCGTTTGTTTTTGTTTCTAAAATGTTTGCATCTTTTTGAAAAGATAAATGCTAATTCAACCAAGAAAGATGATCTGCTTGACAAATCTGTCCAAGAAAGATGCGTTGAATGATGCTACTTCATACCCAGATTAATTATAAAACTAATAGTTTGAATCAAAAATTGTCCAAGAAAGATGCATCGATTGAATTTTGCATCGAAAGAGAAATTGGGTTTTATATATGCATTGATGTGATGATGCACAAGAACCATTCAACCAAACCTACAAATCATCCATCTGGTGGAAGGGGAGAGATACGAGAGATATGAGAATGAGGGAGGCGTGAAAAAAGAAACATTATATTATGGATGAAACTAAGATGATGTCTTCAAAAACCAAAAGTTATTTTTTTGTCTTCTAGGAAAAAATGTCAAAAATACTTTTTTGTGTGCATTGTGTTCTAAAAAACATTCAGCTTTTTGTTGAGATGTCTTCCCACCGCAGACATACGAGAAGAAAAATAGCTTTTAATAAATAAATAAATAAATAAAACATTACCAAGTGTTCGATTCGCAAATTGATATTGGAATAAATGTAATCTATCAAAGAAAATAGAATCTTATGAAATGGAATGTGCAAAGTGGTTAAATGTGATCTATCAAAGAAAATAGAATCCGATGGAACTGAAATCCACAGTGATTTTGGAAGAAATGTGATCAATCAAAGAAAACAAGAAATGTGAGCTATCAAAGAAAATAGATTGTGACGGAATTGGAATCCACGTGAATAGTAATCTATCAAACGTTTGTTTAGCAAAATGAAATGAAAAAAATGAGCGGTAATTCACTTATTAGCAATTTTATTTGTTTATTTCAACATATATATACACACCAAGCTTAAATTAGTATATAACATAAAGAAGGTCAATATATATCGATGTAAGGCCACTAAACAACAAGCTGCGTCGAATTTAATGAAAAGAACATAAAATTGAAATGAATTCCTTTCATCCCTAGGACTGAATTTAAAAGAATCTTTTAGAAATGAACACATTACATTAGTAATTTAAATACAAAGACAAATATGAAAAACATTATATAAATCCAGAGTTAAAAACATAGACAAAGAAACCCAAATTCATTGTTTGGTCATAAAGTGTACGTAAAAAAAAAAAACAGAAGTTATACACACAAATCCAAGACATCGTCATTAAAAAATCAAAGATGGAATTCAGAAATGGTGTATGATTCAATTTTCACTTGTCATTAAACAAAGATGGACATGCCAACCGTATCAGTTTTGATTGGAATGTGGATTGAGTTGTGGGCTTTGGGCAATGTTAGATTGGGCTCCTCATGGGCCCAGGACAGTATCTAACCTCCTTTTGTTATCTAAAATTACAATGAACTAAAAAACCTCCAACCCCGGGTAAATATTTGTAACCATTTCATGGACCCCTGGAAATATTTGTGTGCCATCAAATTAAGGATTAAACTGATTATTCGAACCTAAACAAATAACAATCACACAGTCATGGGCAGTAGTCTAAATAACAAAATAATCGCTTCCAATTTCCAAATACTAACTACGTTCTACCTCAAGAATCCATGATTTCGTTAATGGCATAAACTCAATCTTTCAAATCATTAGCTTTTCTTTTAATGGGTAGTAGTGAAGGGGGTACTACAATATCGTAGCATTTTTTAGCCAAACGAATACATTGTAACCAGGGACGGTTTTAAGGGGTTCCCAGTGTGGTACCGGCAACCCCTAATTTTTCTGGCCGCAGTGGAAAAAATTTCGATTTTTCGATTTTTATTACTTATTTTTTATGTATCGGCAATACCTATTCATCCCGGCAACACCTGCAATGTATTCCTGCGTCATGGAGAGTCTCCGCATTGGGGTCTCTTTCAACAAAAACATCAGAAACAGTAAGTTGGAGTTTACCTTTGTAGATCGTAGCCTTGCCTCGCACTCGAGCTGAAACCCCAATTTGGATTAGGGTTGCGAAATTCCGAGCCGATTCGGCAATTAGTCGAACATCTGGTGGGCTACGATAGAAATGATAGGGAGAGGTGAGTTGGTTAAGCCAAAGAACACAGGGGATGCACCCGGTGCCATCATCGATGGTGAATATAAGGAATATGTCTTGTTTGTGCTCTCTACTAGTAACCACGCGCACGAGAAATGAGGAGGGTGTCTCTACGACCGACGGCGTTCGGTTATGTAGATGACGGTGTTAATGATAGGAAATTGAAAGCCAGCAGCTTTACGTGAGTATTGTGTAGAGCTTCCATGTGAAGGGGCGACGATAAAGCCTCACATTGTGTGAAAAAACGTCTATAAGGAACGGAAAAAGATGACTAGGTAAGCAGTAGGTTTTACAAACTTCACATAGACTATCTAACCATCTTTGATACTTTTCAACAAGGGGTTCTGTCCTTCTGGGAATGCTTATCTAACTAAAAAAATCTTTATTAAGTTTATTGGTTTTTGGCTGACAAGTCGATAAATGATTTTCAAAGTAAATTCCAAACATCATGGACGGAAATAGGGACTAATTACAAGATTGTCTAAAATAAAAGATCCGCTACAACCGAGATCAAATAGAAGATAAATTAAGAGGTAATGAGATCAAATAGGAGGTAAAAGATAAGGAGATAGATTACATAAATAAAACAAATTAATAGATCATATATATATATATATATATATATATATATATATATATATATATATATAGATCTCGAAAGATTATCAATTATAGGTATTGGGAATGCCGAATTTAATCAAGGCCTTTGGATAAGTATTAACAGTTCACCAACCGTTAACCTTATATATTTGTCTTTTATCTTTTTACTTCGTATGGATTTACTATAACGATCACAATGTAAATCTTTTATCTTATATTTGATAATTATAACTTTTGATCTCATAATTATTTTGTATATATAAGTATTTATATATAAACCCTAACTATGGTTATTTGAAAATACGATATCTAGACAGAGTAACAACTAGGTACGGTGCATATCCATATATTTGACAAGTATAACTTCTAGGTGCTACGTTATTCTAGGAATTTGTCCATTATAACATCTATGTATTATTTCTTCCTTTACTATTGGGCATCATAAGTCTTAGGCATAATATCATAGCTTACAACCAGGGTCATTCCAAACATATTTTGTGCCCAAGGCAAAAGAAAAATATGAGCTCATTAAAATACACAAATGTCATCATGTTTTTTTTATAATAAGTCAATAATTTAAAGAAAAATAATTATTTTATTTTTTACATATAACAATTTCCATAAAAAAAATTGGGTCCTTTTAAAAGATGAATCCTAGAAGGTCGCCTCTATCGCCTAAACTCTGGGACGGACCTGCTTACAATTAGGCATAATATCTGTAACTACATTATCCTAAGACTTTAAGCTTTATAAAATGATTCTATATTTATAAACATAAATATATTTTGATAAAACCTTTTGCTAAGCATGTACCCCCCCCCCCCCTAGTAGTTTATTTTGAAGCATTTGAGTCATTGCATTTGAAGCTTTGCATCACTAAGAGGGTCTCCGAAATAGTTTGAGAGGTATAGAAAGAGTGTTTGGGATGAGAAAATCAGAAAGTGAGCACCTCTATTTATAGTGGTTGTGCGTGCGACGTGCACTCGCTTTGTGGCTCCATCTAGAGCTTGCCGCGTGCCACACTTCTAACTGTCCACGTCTCCTTGATCTTTGACGAATCTGGCTCCATCTAGATTCGGCTCGTAGTCTCATACTAAATGGAAATTAACCAAGCTTAAAAGGTTTTTATAATGATACAGGTGTTGCTAGGGCTGTAAACGAACTAAACGTTCGTCGAACCGTTCGTGAACTGTTTGGTAGGAAGTTCGTTTATGTTCGTTTATTTAATAAATGAACGAACATGAACAAAAATTATCGTTCGTTTAGTTAAATGAACGAACATAAACAATTTTCTCGTTCGTTCATTTATGTTCGTGAACGTTCGTTTATGATGTTCATTTACGTTCGTTTATGTTCGTTCATTTAAGTTTATTTATATTCATCTATATTCAATTATTTTTTATTATATTGCTATATTATATGTTCGTTTATGTTCATATATGTTCAATTGTGTTTTTTTTATCTTTGTTCGTTTATGTTTGTTCGTTTATGTTCGTTTAGCATGTTCACGAACATAAATGAACGAACATGAACAAAGTAATTTGTTAAACGAACGAACATGAACAAGAAAATCTCGTTCGTTTATCCGTTCATGTTCGTTTGTTGTTCGGTTAACTTAAACGAACGAACATGAACAAGACCTTATTCGTGTTCGTTTGGTTCGTTTACAGCCCTAGGTGTTGCTAAATTGACACATCTTAAACACCTATAAATTTTTTTATTAGAAGTCAACCTATAATAAACTATTTATAACTTACTTTTTTGAAAAATAATACAAATTATACTAATAAAAATATCTTGAAAATAAGATAGGATGTAAAAATGAGGTTTTTTTTTTTTGTCTACCCAATTATACCCATATTACGCGCACGAGGATCCTTTTCTGAAAACGGGAGGTTGCCTCGGCTAGTCGGCTTTGCTGAATTTGGGTTTACACTTTACAGCGCTCATTGCTGGTTGGAGTGTCATTATTCTTTGAATTCCGGCGAACGACGACGAACGTAACTAGGTCCATCACTCCCGTGTGTAGTTTCCAGTGGTATTACATCTCCTTTCTCGTGCTCTACTGATTTTAGCAATTAGGTTTTTACAAAATAGCTACTGTAAGTTACTCCACAAGAAAATTGAAATCGGTAACCATTATCAAACACCTTTTCATAAGATCTTATCTATGTAATAGCTATGTCTTCAATTTTTCATGTTTATATGCCCAAAATCGAACTACGAATGAAACCCTAATTCCGCAATTAAATATAGTTTACCCTTACGATCTTTTGATAATACATGCTTATGTTAACACGCCCCACATTTGCTGTTGTGGTCCTCCTTAAGAGCGAGTATGTCTTTCACTATGCTTCAGATTGCACCATGAATTTCAATTAGGCAGATTTATGGTTTAGTTTTCTTGCTACTTTTTCATGTTAATTTTCGTTATGGAAATATAGAGCTTTATGTTAAATAACAAAATCAAACACCAGATTTTCTAAATTAAAATCCCTTAATAATTAGAGAATCATTAAAACAAGCTACCTGACACAGTCACCAGATTTGCAGTGTGGCTGTAGCGAATACATGATGAAACGAATGATGCCATGGAGTGACGATGATGATGATTCTTCGTCTGATGAGTCTTCAAGTCCTGATTCAGATGCTTCCGATAAAGATGAAAATCCAAAAAAGAACAAAAAGATCGTTTCTGGTGGTGGATCTGGATCATCCAAATCTAATAAAGGTTATAATTTAATAAATCTTCCTTTTCTTAAACAATCGTGCATCATCATCTCCCTTGATAAGCCTTGGTTTTGTTGTATCTATTCAATGCAGTTGAATCTGTGAAGCGGAAGAGCAAAGGGATAGACTTTGAAGCGCTGAGTCAGCACGGGTATCGGGGCGGGTTATCGGTCCTAAAAGTCCCTCCACCAAAAGAAAACGATAAGGACCGTGATTGGTCGTGGTCAACCGGGCAGGGGCAGGACAGGCGGGCAGCAAATGAGACGGAAGAGAGCTACCAAGATCGACAGAAGACGAGAGCCATGTTGCTTGAAGGAGAGCAGTTGGTACATGCACGAACACAGAAAGAGAAAAACTTGTTAAGCTTCTCACAGAAGGAAAAGAGGAAAAGGGATATGGGGCAGGCTAGTAGGGGTAAAAGCTATGTTGAAGAAGAGAAGAGATTGTTGAGAGAAAATGGGATTTACTCTGGTTTTGACGCTTGACACTTTATGATGCCATTTGTCCTTGTACTCTTTCAACTTATGGGGAAAAAAAAACATGTATTGCCTTTGAACTTGATTTTGATTACTCTTAATAGTCTATTTTGAAAATATTTATCAAAATTATGTTCTTTAAAGCAAGTTAAGTTTGAGTTTGATCAACAAATAAAACTCGATACATACAAACTTGATTTAGATAAAATTGATGACTGTTTTGCAAGTATTCGATAAAGCAATCTTGATACCAGTAATTGAATAGCTTGAAAATGTTTATCAGAATTATGTTTGTTAAAACAAGTTAAACCTGAGTTTGATCCAATACAATAATTATTTAACGCATGGATACGCTTAAAAAGCTCAATAAAAAATTCTGACTTGTATCTATTAACAATGCGGGATTTACAATTTTACATGGAGGCGAGACTTTCCTCCTTTTTATCCTTGTGACCTTGTCGTATTCATGGACTCTTTTTAAGTTTTCTACATTTTCTTTTAAGTTTTCGATATACCCCAAATACATTTTGTTTGGGATTAAACAATAAACCATATTAAAGGAAAAAAAAAATACCAAATTAAAGAGTTTGGTTAATTACTTGCAAGTTATTCTAACTCACAAGTTAACTACACAATTGATGTATTTTATTCAAGGCATAGAATGCAATTTCAAAAGGTTAAAAATAAAAGTAAACATGACATTGCTTGTTCCAATGGATTCTTTGTGTCCAAACAAGTCTTTTCAAGTATTTAAAAATGAGAGAACTACTCAAAATAACTAAATTTTGTTCCAACAAATTTTTAGATTGCTTGTTCCAATGGATTCTTTGTGTCCAAACAAGTCTTTTCAAGTATTTAAAAATGAGAGAACTACTCAAAATAACTAAATTTTGTTCCAACAAATTTTTAGAAAGATGACTCTGGAGCACCAACATATCTTCCATATTATATTGTTGATGTATATAGAAATACAAAGTTTAATAACTTAAATTTTATTCTAACAAGTTCTTAGAAAGATGACTTTGGAGCACCACCATATCTTCAATATAGTATTGTTGATGTATATGGAAAATTGGCAATACAAGGTTTAATAACTTATTGGAAATTTGACCAAGATGAAGATCGAAACAAACAAACATGCAACACATATTCAGATAAAAGTAACATTGATTGTATTTGTTGTCATTCACGATGGAATGAGTATTTTCAGTAATGAAGTTGATAAAAAATAATTTGTACAATAAGATAAATGATTAATTTATGATTGTCCAATATCGTATATTGAGACATAGATAGTATTACCAGCGAAACAATTATAGATTATTTTTAAAATTTGAAAACTCATTGTAAACAATTGGAAGACATTTAAGTTTGATGTTTGGTACTGAGACCAACTCCAATCGATCGGTAAAATACTGATTTATTGGCCAAAAAAGCTCCGATGGCACGGTATAAGAAACGGCAAAATGGGGCGCATCTACAGTAACCCGCCAAAATGGTGGGACACTGTTTACACTGGCAAAACTCATATTCAATATAATAATATAATACTGTATTTATTTTGTATAAGATTAGATGACTTGTTTTTTCTTTTAAGACTTGGTTTTTTCGATTCATTCTTTTTCCAGTATTTTTTTTCCTATAAAACTGGTGTTCTGCTGCCTTCATTTTCATTTTTGTATCTGCTCAACTGGAAATGTGGAGAGTGTAAAATGGTTTTCAAGAAATACATTGGTTGTAGTCTTGTATAGGTGAAAGCATTTGGAGAATGAAAATTGAAAAAGGTCAAGCAACTCAAACCAAATAGAATGGAATTGAGTTTGGAAAGGAACGTTACTTTATATATATATATATATATATATATATATATATATATATATATATATATATATATATATATATATATATATATATATATATATATATATATATATATATATATATGTGTGTGTGTGTGTGTGTGTGTGTGTTTTTAATTGGGTATTTTTAGTGTGTGGTTGGAATGAGAAAAAAAAAAAAAAATTAGTGTTCAAATCACACCAATTTAGTGTTTTTTTTGGTGTCAAGGTTGGAATTGGCCTAAAACCATGCGTTCCATTAGACAGTAGTATTGGCGATCCGACTTGATAACAAAACTTTTTTGACCCCTTTTTCGTTACGTTAATTTGAATACACCACTGTTTATTAACTTGGAACTAGAGAATTTTCAAACTGCATGTCTGAATCACAACTCCCATATCTCAGTAAAACGTTGTTTGTAGTTTTATTTTGCAAGCAACCTAATCGAATGATCAAACCCTACCAATGCAGTTATTCTTGAATCTAGCTTAAAAGTTCCAAAAAAAAAAAAAAAAAAAAAAAACATATATAACATATATAATAACCAAAATTTAGCATAACTTAGATTCAGCGTAGTGCATTGGTATAGTTCAAACACCAGAAACTAGATTAAAGTTGAAAGTCCATATAGCTCATTAGCCTCTACATAATAGGATCATGAAACATCCTTTTTCCCTATTTTAGAACCTCTTCACGCTGATCTGCTGGGAAGAGTTCTGCAGATGGCCTTAATAGTGTTGGGAGTAGTTCTGCAACAACCTCCTATAAGCGACGCTCCTATCTCACACCATTTATTCACATACGACACAAAATCCCCATCCGCAACTCCCGTGTTTTTCTGTCACCACAAAACAAAAACATCACACTGTGTACTGTATACTGTATACTGTGTACTGTGACTGATGTGAATGAAATGAGGGAGTACTCACCACCCACTGTTTTATTTCAGCATCGTAAGTTTCACCGCTGTTTGGATAGATGAGTATCGGTTTACTTGTCACCTGAAAGAAAGATTCGTTTTGTCAGAAATAAAACAAGAAAATAATTATAAAAAGTAATAATACCTTTTTAATAGCTAGAATCAACCCACTGATAAATCTAGGAGGCGTACAGTTGATTCCAACAGCAACAACTTTCTTACATGCATCAGCAATTTTAGCACATTCACTCAACGAATCACCACTCACAACGTTTACACCATCTTTTGAGTTAAACGAAAACCAAGCTGGGATTTTTATGCCTTCTTCAAGAATCTCAACAAAAGCCTGTTCAAGTATAAATAAAAAATTATCATTATTTAATATTCAATAACAATAGGAATCTTAAATCTTAACGATAAACACAATTACTCAACCTGTGCTTCGAGCTTATTTGGAACTGTTTCAAATGCGATGAGGTCAGCACCAGATTCAGCTAAAACTTGAACTCTTCTCCTGTGAAAACTCTTTAAGAACTCAAGATTCATTGCATTGCCATAGTCCCCACTGTAACATAAACACAAGATTTCATGCAAATGATTTTAAAACAACATAATGTCAAGTTATGGTTATTTAGTTACCTGTATTCAGAACCATCAGCCAGATATGCCCCATAGCTTCCTACAGATGCAGCAACTAAGATAGGCCTACAAGATTCACCACATTTTTCATAATATATATCCCTTGCTTCAAGGGCAATATCTACACTTTTTTTAAGCAGGGCTTCACTTTCCTCTTTAGAGAAGCCTTTGGCTTCAAACCCTTGAATTGTTGCCTGTCAAAAAATAGTAAGTATTAAATTGAGAGAGAGAAAGTTTATCAACAAAAAATAGTAGTGACTAGTGATGCTGATTTGGGGGGGTATTGACTATTGAGTCACCTGATAAGATGCTGTGATTATTATATCTGCACCAGCTTCAAGATAATCAAGGTGTACCTGCAAATAATAGAAAACGCTAACTTGTTTCAAACTGCATATCATGAGAATTCAGAACAGGACCACTGAAGAAATAAATGTAGTAATTATGATAGTATAGTCAAGAAATGGTCCTTATAGTGTTGTACACGGGCCACGTGATTAGGATGCTGACAATATATCAAATCTTCTTGTCTATAGAATCATATCAATACAAGTTACATGGTCCTACTTCCCCTTTATGGATCTACATCCTAGATGAATCCTGGTTTTATGAAGACTATAAGACCATTTATCAACAAAAACTAATTGGATAGGTTATCTAAGGCTAATTGGGGATCTGGTAATCCAATTTATTGGTATTCAGAGTTAAAGCTAGCGTTCATCATCTTCTGAATCAACAAAACAGGTGCTCTGTGTGTGCTGCACACGTTACTAACAAAATAGTTGCTCGTCCTGAATGAGGAAGAAAAAGAAACTAAAATCTACAGTCATTCGATTATAAAAGATACACAGTTATTTCTTCGCAACTTGTTTCATACAGAGCAGCTCAAAAATAAACATGAAAACAGATTATTGATGTATAATCATCCTGAGGGAAAAAAATTAATCAACGCAGAGATCGGAACCTCCTTCCAACGGTAAGAATCCTCGAGAAATTTTCTAAAATAAAACTCTGGCTTCTAATGTATAAGAGTTCGATTTCACCAGACACAAGTTTAGCATTTCTGTTCGATCTTTCGTGCACCGACAAAAAGGATGCAAGTTAGTCGGTAGCCATGGCGTTTATTTATAAAACGGTAATAACATTGCATTCAAAAACTCTCAACATCATCGTCATTCGGTAGATTTTTGTTATAAATATTGACGATTGCAACACCAGTAAATATACAGAGTGACAAAGAGGTTTATGGATACCTGACGAACAAGGTTACCAGAAGTAAGGAGGCACTTGGCGCTCCAGAGAGGGTCGTTAAGGTCGGCACCATGTCTTTCAAGCTCCGTTGCAAGTCCACCGTCAATAACGGCCACGCCGCCCGATTTGCGGAGGAAATCATACATCAACGTATCTACGATGCCGTTGCTCAATCCCATTGTTCAGAATAATTTCTATATAATCAACTGAAATAAACACAGAATCGACTTTTCTTCCGACGACGGCAATGAAAACAACTCGATGATCGCTGAATCAGCCGAACAAGAAGTGTGTATTTATAGAAAGGGTCTGAAATCGGCGATTTGGTATAAACTGTACTTGACAAAATGACCCCCTTAACATTCATATACGGCAGAAATAGCCCCTATTCTTTGATATCTAAAACAATTAACTACCTCAATTCAAAAATCTATTCTATTAATACTTCACCTCAAATTCATATTTACACATGTTATTAAAGAGATGCTAACAGAAATTACATATATTTTTCATTTATAAGAGCATCTACCATAATTAATTATTTCAATAGCTTATTATATTTGCTATATAGGATTTACATGTCTTTTAAAAAAAAACATTTTTCTATAAATATCATCTTTACTGAAAACTATTAATTATGTTTTTATTCTCATCCATTTGAATATTTTATAAAGACCATTTATTTGGTTTTTCGTTTTAAAACACGATATTAAATCAAAAGTAACAAAATAAATGTTTAATTTATAAAAGGATTAAAGGATATTCATCTATTTTAATAAATAAAGGTTTTTTTTGTTTTGTCACACTCTCATTTAATTTGTCAAATGTCATTTTATTATTATTTTGAATTAAATTTTTTCCACGTATCATTTTATGAGTTTTTCTATTTTATTAAATTTTACATTATATTTTAATGTAATAATTAAAATAAATATTATAATAAATGAATATCAATTTTATTAATAAAATTACTTTTTAATTTCAAATTTTCCAAAACTAAAACTCATTAATTTCTTTTGTTTATTTATTATTGTTAAAACGTTAAAAGATAAAAAAACATTTCTATTATAATAGTTTATTATTTTTATTTTTCTTTTATAAATTCAAAATTCTTAAATATTTTGATCTTTATATTTAATTTTTTTTTAAATTAACCTATGTAATATATAAATCTTACAAAATATAATAAAGTTTTAAAATAAATAGGATTATGGTCAAATAAAAATGATATTTAGATTAAGTGTAACATGTCATTACACAATATAGATACACCATTAAGAGATGGGAGAAAAATAATAAGTGGTGGATATCATTGTCGTAGATACTCCAATTTAATATTATAAAATATTATCCGCATACCATTTTGTAATTTTGGTTTTGCTTTGTCCTTTTTTTCTTACATATCAATCCTTTTTTTTTTATTGAAGCAGCATATATATATATATATATATATATATATATATATATATATATATATATATATATATATATATATATATATATATATATATATATATATATATATATCAAAGGGGCCAAAAGTAGTCGGAAGCTATGCAAAGGCAAAGTACAAAACGAACGGGAAAATAATAGAATCTAAACGAGCACTCCAATCTGTCCGGCTATCACATCCCATATTGCATCTGTATTTGCATCAAGTAAATGTGAGGGAGATAACATTATCAGCAACCTTGGTGGGTTTATAGGCATGGTCGAGTCATCATTTTGTTTTAGAATAAATTAAATAATATACAAAATATGAATGAATGACAAAATTCTTTAATTCTAATTTCTTTTATTTAACAAAAATATATATTGTACATATATAATATAATATAATATATATATATATATATATATATATATATATATATATATATATATATATATATATATATATATATATATAATTTTTTGTGGGTGGGTACTCGCAAAAGAAAATCAACTCTAAGAATTTGTTTTTTTTTTTCTTTTTTTCTGGGACAGTTTCCTAAGGTGGCAACGTGGTTGAGAAAATTTGTGGCATTAAGGAATCGTTGATGTTGGGTCCCGCGCCATTTAAAAATTTATTCCTACACCGCAACAATATAATCTCACCTAGCCAGAAGATACACCTAGCCAGAAGATGATTGACAATTTCCATTTCCTTATGACACAGTGGAAGAGAGGGTATGAGACTTTAATTCCTCTAAACGTAATGGTGTCAGTAACCAGGATCCTACCTAAAGAGGCACACTAACCAGACAACAATATAATCCTTTTATTTTTTAAGGTAATATTTAAATAGATGAGTAATTCAAAAAGAAATGTACGACTATTAGTTCACATATTTAAAAGATCTAACTTATAATGTTAACATATGAGTCAATGACTAATCGAAAATACGATATGGTAATTCTTTAGGATGTTTTCTAAATAGAAATACATTTATACAGAAGCAGAATGAATGAAAAAAATTAAATTTATAGCTTTTGTGGTTTTACATGTTTCTGTCTTAAAAAAAATATAAAATTCAAATAAAAATTTGGAAAATAAAATAAATATTGTTTTTAGTAGAAAACAAAATTTGCATTAAGATGTAGCCAATTTATCTAATTTTTTTTACCAATATAGTAATATATGAAGTCTATTAATAGTAATCGGTTTCGTAACATCTCAAAAATCATAAGTGAAAATTTTATTTTTAAGTCGTCAAAAACCATCAAATATTCATATAAAACCATCAAAAATATTTTAATGTGAAAATAGTTATCAGAGTACAATCCAAAATCATAAAAATGTTGAACACGGGTGGATGCTCTGTAATAAGGTCGAATCCTTCCCTTTCGAACTGGAAGTACCTGAATCATAAACTTAAACCGTAACCACAAAGCTTAGTATACGGGTCTATTTCACTCATGAGTCCCTTCCGCCTGAGTCCCTTTCGACTCCATCGGTATCTTTCAACCTGTATGAGTCTATTTCACCCCCTAAAGCTAAGCATACAATCATACTAGCAAGAGTCACGAAGACAATAACCACATACAAGCATATCAGGAAGTGTCACAAAATACCACTACTATCCTACAACATAATCCAGTGGGTCGGCATTGGTGCCTTCAACTCACAAGTATAGTGAGGAAAATCACCTCAAAATGACGATAGACAAATCACACTTTCGAGCTGCTGTTACCATGGCTCCTCATACTGAACATTAGGGGTGAGCATTTGGACCGGTGAACCGGACCGGACCGGACTGTTTTTTTGGACCCCCGGGCCTGTTCTCGGTTCTAAGATTTCTCTCCGGTCTGGTCCAGTTTTTTTCCCGGTTCGGTCTGGTTTTTACCGGGTTTACAACCGGTTGGACATGATTAAGATTTTTGTGACGTTTTTTAAACACACATAACTCATTCGTTTTAAGTCGGATTGACCTACGGTTTTTTCCAACATTTAGTTTACAGTTTGTAGATGAATTTAGACTATAATTTTATTTATTTTGGTATTATATTCACTGTGGTACAATCCTTCAAAGTAGAGCTATCAAAGCTGAAAAAATTCAGTTTTTCAGCAACCTTTTGTAATCTGTGACGTTTTTTAAACACCCATAACTCATTCGTTTTAAGTCGGATTGACCTCCAATTTTTTTTCCAACATTTAGTTTACAGTTGTAGATGAGTTTAGACTATGATTTTGTTTATTTTGGTATTATATTAACTGAGTTACAATCCTTCAAAGTAGAGCTATCAAAGTTGAAAAAATTCAGCTTTTTAGCAAGATTTTGGAATCTGTGACGTTTTTTAAACACCCATAACTCATTCGTTTTAAGTTGGATTTGATGGGTTTTGGTCATAAGACATCCTATGTGCTCATACAAACCTTAATGCTTGGATCTAGGTTTCTCTATTGTACATGCTTTGAATCCAAGACTATAAACCCTAATTCTAGCATACAAGTAATCATATTAATATGTAATTAGGTTTAAGATCATACCTTGATTGTTATGTAGCAATAACAATCCCAATTCCACCTTGGATTGACTTTGGAATGCTTAGAGTCACAAGTGTCACTCCTCTAATGGCTCACAAACACCATAAGCAAATGGAGAAGGTATAAAGAAAGAGGTAAGAGGTTAGAATTCGTATCTAGGACCTCTTGGGAAGGGATAAACGAATTCATGACCCTAGGGGTGTTTATATAGGTGTAGAGATAGGGTTTCAGTCATTATCCTTATCTAGTTGATTATCCATTAAGCAACCAATAAGATAATCCTTGAATCCTTATCATACTCGAATTCTAAGGCTTTCCAACCTTAAATTCGTCCACCATATAAATAAGATAATCCTTACCTTATTTTGTAACAATCACATAATTACAAATCAGCCCCTCTAGTTTAATTAATTACATTTGATCACAAAACTAATTATTAATTAATTATTGACCAATATTAATTAAACAAATATGATTTCTCCTTTAATATATTATTCTTATAACATATTAATAAATCATATTATCCTCTCTCTCTTTATTCATTTCTCCAATCAAGTTGCTTTGGTGAAGGCAACCCAAAAGGACCATGCACCATCGGGTCAAGTACATACCAAAATAGTTATGGACTTAGACACTAATCCAATAGGATTGACCTACGGTTTTTTTCCAAAATTTAGTTTACAATTTGTAGATGAATTTAGACTATAATTTTGTTTATTTTGGTATTATATTCATTGAGTTACAATCCTTCAAAGTAGAGCTATTAAAGCTGAAATACTTCATCTTTTTAGTATTATTTTATACTATAATTCTGAGTCCGCGTTTAGCACATGTCGTAGAGTTGTAAGTGAGTATCAAACTAGTTTATCGATATTGATAGTTGAAGCTTTGTTATGCACCCAAAATTAGGTGATAAAGTTTACAAATTCAATAGTTGACAACGTTGATGACATCTTGAACGATGATGATATAACTTTGGGTAAAAAAATTACAATATTTATTCTTTATTTATACAATTATTACTTTTTATTAAATACTAACAACATTTTCATTTGTGTTTATGTAGAGATTGCACAAGCTTTAAATATGTTACATATGGATGACAATGATATGGGGAAGAGGCCAATGGAAGATTAGATTATGAGTTTATGAAATTTGTTAGTTTGATTGATTTTAAAGTTTAAACTATGATTTTTGTTGTTACGGTAATACTTTTGTATGTTTATCTTAAAATTGTTTAACTTTTTTTGGTGAACTTGATTTATATGTTAGTTGCTTTTATTTGGAAAAATAATTTCTTCAAAT